TTCTAACAGCCGCCACCTGCCGCTGTCAGACTACCCAGACAGTGACTGCAGTTGATTGGCTGCAGTAACTATTTGGACAACAATATTTGACTTGCTCCCTCAACAAAAGTCAGTAGGCTTTTGTCAAGCTGGCAAGACCGACCCTATGTTATATACCAAAATTCTAACAGTGCATGGCCAGCTTTAAGGGCTAATTCATACTAGCCGCTGCCCAAAATGCACAACCTCTGGTGTGCTGCTCCCCCACACAGTATCGATGCACCAATCTCAGTACATTGTTCTTTGTTTTTAGAACTTTATCGACATTTCATTAAGTTCTATGCGCACAGCTGAGTGCAAGGTGTTTGGTCCGCATCGCATCTCGCTGTGCTGAGAAAAAGTACTGCATGCCGTACTTTTTTTCAGCACACACCTGATGTCTGTGCGTTTTGGTGGTATGAACCAAGCCTATTCGCAACAAGGAGAATTGCGCAGGAAAAAAACTTCCAGTGTAGCCCTAATGCATATGGTGTGAACGGACCCTAAGACAAAACAAGTGACTTGGAAAGGGGAAGATCATCCAGTCCTCCATAGCCTCAAAAAATAAGCGAATTTAGAAATATGAAGGAATAAAAGTCTTCATAGAAAGGACTAAATCTTCTATAAAGTATATTAGGAGCAGAAAGCGCATGCACAATAGTCTGTAATCATCCCTTCCACACAGCACATGCACTGCTCATCTATATGAAAACGTGAGTCTGTTTTCATATATAATGTTCCATGTAGATGTGTCAGCCACAACACAGCCCTTCTAAGTGCCTAGCACTATGTCAGATGGAATTCATTGGAAGGACTGGTCTACAAGTTATAATGAAATACCGAAAAATGGTGACAGCTGTCTAAAAATAAGCTTGATAATGTACAGCCCAGAAGATTTACAAAGTGCTTTTGGCAGAAGGATCATCCCCCAGGGTACTTGAATATGCATCACTGTTAATTTTGACAGCAATCACCTGAAGCTTGAAAAGTCATTAGACCTAAAAATAATGTAATTACAGGGCTCAGCCGGTGTGGCCCTATAAAGACCAGCCAAGGCAATAAAACTCCTAGTTCTAGTGACACAACAACACAGTAGCTGGATAGCAATCCATAAGATGACAGTGTGTGCAGTGCTGGCTAAGTTGCACATGTCCCTTATTTCCTGCCAGGGTTCTACAACTTGTATAAAGTCATCTGGAATAAATGTAAGAGTGATTTCTCCAGAATTGTTGAGTGGAGTGCTCCGTAACGTGTCTCTACTCCTCTGACTGTATACTGGCTGCTCTCAACCTGTCACATGCTAATCGATATCGTAATCCAGTCATCAGCCCGGCGCTGGGTATTCCGGTGAACGGCCACAAGGTGGCGCCCGCGCCTGGGTTGGAAGACATAGCCGAGTAGAAGGAAGCTGGGAGCTGAGCTGTTGGGGAAAGTGACAGCCGCTGTTAGCTCACTTCTCATGTCTTCCGTGCTGTGTTTGCATTCATTTCAGATCGAGCTGTAGATCACTGGGAGGCTTTGGACTCTGCTCCTGTCTGTCCCTCCCAGAGGAGCCAGACCGTGTTACCCCTCCCTGTACAGGTGGAGCTGAGACTGGTAATACTGACCTGGGCAGGCTGGCCAAAGAAGCAAAGTTTACAGCAGCTCTGCTCCGATCTCATGACTGCGAGTTGTTTGGATACACACAAGGATTACAAAGCTCCAGCTGGAAGGCTCACTCATCTATGCTACGGTAATGTTGTGTCTGCTACTGAGTACATATCTCCCAACTGTCCTTCATGTGGAACCTAATACTTCTGCCCCTCTTTTCTCATCATCTGTCCTTTCTATGTTCTGATATACTGACTTCTATAAAACTGTTTAACTACCAAAAGTGTTCTACTGCACTAAACATTGTATCTAACCTCTACGTTCTTATACTGAAGTCATTATAAAGTAAAAGTAGTCCTGTAAAAAGGATTTGTGGTTTTATCCAATCATTTTTGGGTATTTTAGGTGGCCCCTGAACTGGGGTCATGACACCTACTTTGTACTTGAGCTAATAGGGGACCCTCTTTACCATCTCAGAAAGGTGGGAGGTATGTATGGGATCAATACTCGTGCAGTGCTAGAAAAACCTGTGTAACTTCATCTTCTCAGCACACAGATCTCAGTAAGAGAAGACATACTGGAATTTGTGGTTCCACTGGAGAATTAAAGCCAGCCCAGAGTTTGCTATGATTGTCAAGCGTTGTTATGCTTTGGGAAACATGCAACTAAATGCTCAGTTGCTATTGACACGAGTGCTTTGTCACGTGTTTCCCGAAGCACAGCAATGTTCAACATGTATAATCCCATTATTTCTAGTGGTGCCTATATGCACCTGAGCACTTTGCTTGTTTCCCGAAGCACAACAACACTTTACATGAAGAACCCCTTTACGTGCAATGGTGCCTATATACACCTGAGTGCTTTGTGTGTTCCCCAAAGCACAACATGAAGAACCCCTTTATTTGCAATGGTGCCTATATACACCTGAGCGTTTTGTCGTGTGTTTCCCAAAGCGCGGCAATGCTCAACATGAAGAATCCTATTATTTTCAATGGTGTCCATTTACACCTGAGCGCTTTGTCATATGTTTCCAAAGCAGGACAACGCTGAGTATGAAGAACCCCATTATTTTAAGTGGTGACCATTTACACCTGAGCGCTTTGTCGTGCGTTTCCCAAAGCATGACAATGCTCAACATGAAGAATCTCATTATTTAAGGGTGCCCATTTGTACCTGAGCGCTTTGTTTCCTGAAGCAGGACAACACTCAACATGAAGAACCCTATTATTTTAAATGGATCCCATTCACACTTGAGCGTTGTGTCACCTGTTGCTTGAAGCTGGAAAAAGTGCAAGCTGAATGCATGACTGTATGGATATTCTGCAGGTCAGATGTTTTGCCTCCACACGGACAGGTGAAGTGTTCAGCTTGGCATTAGATCATGGCTGATTGCTTATGTTTTATGTTGAAAAATTGTGGGATGAAATCTAATCGGCGATCAACAATCTCTTCAGATTACCCAACCTGCTTATTAGCTGTGCTTTCCCTCATTCCTAATCTATCACCAGCTGGATGTGGTTTTCATTCTTTTCTCCTTTCTTTGTATTCTGGCACAAACATTCCTTTAAAGACAGATCGACTTTCCTCCAAAGGAGTCTTTGCATTGTGATACAAGCAGGTTAAGAAGAATTGGGAAGAAATGCCATTTGTTGAGGGGAGTTCACAGGCAGCAATGAACTTCCATTAATCAGTACTTTATAAGCTGGTCTAGTAAGATGAAGGGTTAACCACCTTGGTAATGTTACATGTCCTGCTGAATACTGTCCCTAACAGGAGCTGTTACTGAAAAGTGAAGCTTTCCTGTATCTTCTAAGCAAACAAGTGCCATCTGCTATGTAACCCGATAAGGGAGAGGCAAACCCATGCTTTTTAAACTTTTAAGAATAACAAGCTATTAGATATTCCAACATTTTGAAAAATCTTGAGACCACATGCCAGTCATTCTTGCTTGTCCAAAAACAAGGGATCAAGTCTTTCCACACATGTGTGTCTTTGGCTGATTAGTGGTGAAAGACCACAGGGGTCCTGTCAGTGTGTGTTTGCAACAGCAAGGGAAGATCTTTCATTGTCTGTCATTCTTGGTGAAGGATCTTCTTATCTATGACCATTGTTAATAAAACTGTTATAGGATGATGCAAAGTGCAGTGGACAGAGAACTAGTGGCTATATGTCACCATTAACGGCAGGGAATAAGGTCACTGCTCCTTCTGTAACACAATGTTGTGCTGGTGAGGCCCATCACAGTGTTTTCTCTACATCGGAAGATGGGCGATAGAAGTGCACACATGGGAAAGTACTTGATGCCTTTTCTCATACTCACTTGTCTGTATTATCCAAAAACACTGTGCATAGCACCTCTCCCTAAGGGCTTGTTCCCACCAAGTGAAGCGCGTTCCAGAGCGTTTGCATGCATTTTTGGCGCGTTTGCATGTGTTCCAGAGCAGGAAAAATAGGGCTTGCTGCAATTTCGTTACATGCTCTGGAACTGAACGCTGCAGTGTGAACTAGGGCCCAAAATACCATTGGAATACATTGGATGTTTTTTTGAAGCGTTCTGTAACTGCTCTGCTCAGCATCTTGAATGCATTTGCTGTGAACAAGCCCTGAGACAACCCCGTATGGTTGCTTAACTCAACTTGGACATATTGCTTGAAAGGGCTTGGCCACATATGGCCAAAGTATGTCATAGAAACTAATCAGGCTTCTATTGTGCTGCCTGTTTTTAAAGTGATGAAATGGAACTTATCAAGGTGTTCTTCCCTTTGTGCATCATGACTACCTAGTACAACTGGCAATATAGTAACGTAGAGGCTGCCATTGGGGACCTCTTTCTGAACATGCTAGTTGACTGGTTGTTATGCTTTCTGCCTTCAGTCATTTATGATTATAAATATTAATTGATGATAGATATTGATGCAAAACAATATACAGACTGGGAAAGTCAGACATCTGCCTACTTGTTCCTTGTCATTGACAAGCAACTAGTAAAAAAAAAACAGCAATGGCAGCCACCATGTTTCATGACAGGTTTCCATTTCCATCTGATAGATTTTTTGTTTCTGCTCAGTGGAAGCTGTGACTTCTGTTTGACTTATATGAGGCTTAGCTGATGTTGCAACGTATACCAAATCCTTACTGCATGTTTCCTACTTTAAGGGTTAAACTGACAGAACAGGTAGTTAGAATGAATTTACAACCTGTGCTTAACAGTGCTTATAGGAATGTTCTACCTAACAGATAACATTATTTTAATACAGTATTGCTAAAACATATTGTAGCTGTATGGATTACTTCTGGCATTAGTGTTCCTTTTTTCTTTGTAAACTTGGACGTCCTGTGTAACATCAATAACCTGATCACTGATACATAACAATCTCTATTTTCTAGGAATGGCAGAATTGTGGTGGTTTGCTGGCCTGCATTGAGGTTTTGGAGAATGAATAGACGTTGCCATGGAGGCAGAAAGTGAGGTGGAGTTTTCCAGCGATCTTAACTTTGTTCCATTGTGGAGGAGAGCGAGTCCTCATGTTCCCCAGGGAGAGGGACTGTACTACAGCCGCAATCCTAGACCAAGACCGCAATCTTACACAAGTCCTAATGGATTACTTGTCACAGACTTTCCTGTGGAGGATAGGCAGTGCTTTACAGTGACCCAGCCTGCAGAAAGGATTACAAGTTCTCCAGAAAGCAATCAAGGAGGAAAATTTTTGCACAGTCCCAATGGAAAAATACAGACATCACCATCACTATCATCTCTGGAATACAAATCTCCAAACCACAAACGTTCATCTCAGGTCTTAAAAGTGGTTTCCAATAACTCCATTTCTTTTACTACAGGTGACCACCTTTCTTCAGTAAACCAAAAACCAATGCTTTCACAGCGGACATCTGGAAATGTTACACTGACACCTGAAAGGGAACAGATTGTGTTCGGGTCTAGTACTTCTTTTCCATCTAATGGGATGGTAACCGCTAGCAACTGCAGTCCACCTCAGCCCTTACAGGCCACACAGGCCCCGGATATCTTTGCTTCAAAGTCTTTGCCAGGTTCCCCCAAGCCTTCTTTGGAAGATAAGCAGTCTCTCCAAAGAACTTCATCCAATCCAGACAAATCTGCCATCATTCTGAGCACAAACAGTCCAGTGTCTCTCAAAGCTGGAGCTCAGCAAATCATTCCTAAGGGCCTAGCGTCGGGAATCAAAGTCTCAAACAAAAATAGTAATCATAACAACCAAAACACAGATTCTTTCAAAAGGTTGCTGAAAACTCGTAGTATGGTGGAGACCAGTTCACCTCGTCTGGTTGTGCCTTCAGAAGATGGGGATGCTGAAAATGAAACAGATAGCCCAGGCACATTACACAGAGGGCTTAGGTCAACATCCTATCGAAGAGCCGTAGTGAGTGGGGTTGAATTCAACAATTCATCTGATAGAAAAAAGAGTAACAGAATGTCTCAGCCAATCCTCAAGGCAGTCGTAGAAGATAAAGAAAAGTTTTATAGCTTGGGAAGGATAAAGGTAAGTTGGTCTAAATGTAGTATGTCCTTGAATGTTTGACAAATAGGTATAAGAAAATAGAACTCTACATCTTCCACTGTTTGACATTTGTTAATTAATAACTAATAATCTGGGAGCACAATGTTCCATTTTCACAGCTGAAATGATAGTTGTGCAAGTTAGTTCTTGTACTTCAGATAGTACCATCTTTAGTTATCACTTGTGTTTGTTTTTAGCTTTTCTAGAGTATTTGTAAACTTTCTAGTTGTGAAATGTCGAAAGAATATAATTGCAAGGCTTGAAAATGTGTGATAGGATTTCGCAGTTCGAATCGAAAATTCAAATACAATGGGCAAAAAACCCATCTTCAGAAGTCCCACAACTAGACAATTTTTCTAAAACAATACAGACTAATTTTAGGACAGTGGTGGAGCGCCAGGGCCCAGTCGCAGCTGCAACCGCAGTGACCCTGGTAGTTCTGCCACTGACTTCAAGCTGTAGAGAGACTACAAATCCCAGCAATACATTATACAGAAGATCATCGGCTATAGCGGACTACAAATCTCAGCAAAATGTTATACAGCAATGAAGAATAATTTTAAGCTACATACTCTGTGTTGCTCACCAGGGCTGTGTGCGGGGTCTGGCCAGGGCTGTGTGCGGGGTCTGGCCAGGGCTGTGTGCGGGGTCTGACCAGGTTGTGCATTCTCCCCAGGGCTGCATGCGGTCCCAGCAGGGCTGTGCGTTCTTACCAGGACTGTGCATTCCCAGCAAGTCTGTGCATTCTCCCCAGAGCTGGGTGCGCCGTCTCTTCAGGGCTATTTGTGGCTTCTCCCCAGGGCTGTGCATTTTTCCTAGGGCTGTGCATTCTCCCCATGGCTGTGTACAGCATTTGCCCAAGACTGTGCGGCGTCTCTCCAGGGCTTGCAGTTTCCTCAGGGCTCTGTGCGGCATCTCTCCAGGGCTGTGCAGTCTTTCCAGTCCTATGTGCCGAGTCTCTCCAGGGCTGTTCAGTTTCCTCCAGGGCTGTGTGCGGCATCTCTCCAGAGCTGTGCAGTCTTCCTAGGCCTGTGTGCGCCATCTCTGCAGGCTGTTCGAGGTCTCGTGGGTGCGGGCAGCGGGGCAAAGGAGGAGAAGGCAATGTACGGTCATTTTTCCTAGGGCTGTGCATTCTCCACATGGCTGTGTACAGCATTTGCCCAAGACTGTGCATTCTCCCCAGGGCTGTGTGCGGCGTCTCTCCAGGGCTTGCAGTTTCCTCAGGACTGTGTGCGGCGTCTCTCCAGGGCTGTGCAGTTTCCTCAGGGCTGTGTGCGGCATCTCTCTTAGAGCTGTGCAGTCTTTCCAGGCCTATGTGCCGAGTCTCTCCAGGGCTGTTCAGTTTCCTCCAGGGCTGTGTGCGGCATCTCTCCAGAGCTGTGCAGTCTTCCTAGGCCTGTGTGCGCCATCTCTGCAGGCTGTTCGAGGTCTCGTGGGTGCGGGCAGCGGGGCAAAGGAGGAGAAGGCAATGTACGGTCAGGCCGGCGCTGTAAAAGGCAGTCACCGTGAGATCCTCACAAGGCTGCCGAGGTCCTCAGCAAGCGCGGGACCTCAGGCAGCCGAACCTATTTGAAAATGTAAAGTGCCGATATTGGTGAATTTCTACGAGTACTCATATAAATGCCCAGTATCGGCACTGATACCAACACTGGTATCGGAACTGGGGCATCCCTACTTAAAACAATCATGGATTCCAGGAAAGTCAGTACTCCTAATCTGCATACTTGTTTTTGGTCAGTAACTAAAGTTGTAAAACAATTTGATATATTATTCGAGCAAAAAACTAGCATTTTCTCCTAGGTCAGCAGTTGTTGTAGCCTCCATGCTTCTACAGGTCAGGGAATGTATAGCGGTCTTCAGCATATTTTGCATTGTTTATTTATTTTTAACTAATTATTATGTTCAGGACTAAAATTAAATATTTAAAAAATTCAGACCTCAGTAACTCAATCACAAATTTATGAACAGAAACAGCGCCCTGTTTCTTGGTTTGAATCACTCTGTGGCCTTGATGAGGCACCTGCTCATACCATCTCCCTGCTATACCGAAAGTTGCTTGCGGCGAGATACCAGGGTCGCCCCCTCTTCTTCATCTCCAGTTGGGAGAAGGACCTTGGTTTTGCCCTTACTGACGAGGATATTCGTACCTCATTTCTGCTCACTCACAAGCTTTCCTATGCTTGTTCGGCTCAATAGAAGGGCTACAAAATCCTGACTCGCTGGTATTGTTGCCCGGCCCTCCTACACAGGATCTCTCCTGATAGGCCTTCGCACTGCTGGCGTTGTCTGACCGCGGAAGGTACGCACCTTCATATCTGATGGAGCTGCCCGTTATTATTACCTTTCTGGAATCGTGTCTTTGACATCTATAACCAAGTCATGGGAACTTCCCTGGACCCATCCCCTAAAGTAGCCCTTCTTTCTATTTTACCTGGATCCCTTGCATCAGTCAAGAAAGACTTGCTTCATTTTTTTTGGGCCGCTGCCAGAACGATTGTCCCTCGCCACTGGAACACCGTGGTCCCCCAGACCGTGTGGGAGTGGATTGCTGAATTGTGCCTGATCATGCGCTTTGAGGAGCTGACGGCTTCCCTGTGTGACCTTCAGCCTCAGTGCACAGTCTTATGGGCCCCTTGGATCTTGTATATGGACTCTGCGGCATTCCTGGCCCTGTAATTATCTAGATACTCATCCGTGGATGTATGGCTGATGCACTGTCTCTGATGTGGTTCCTAGATCCACAATTTGGATTGTGTGTGCCATTGGGCCTAAGAAGCCTCCCCTCCTTTCCCCCCCTTTTCCTACTTGGATATCTTCCTTATTCTCGATCTTCCTTTCTTGGCCCGATACTTTTATCTTTTGTCTTCCTTCCCTTTTTCCTGTCTTGTCTTCTGGTTCTTATAGTTCCTGTGTGTTTTCCCTCCTCTGTCTGTCTGTCTGATTATTGCCTACTTCCTTGGTGTACAACACGGCCTTTTATCTCGATTCACACCATACTGGATCAAGACACAATCTAGTGCTGACATTGCCTGATATTTCTTCTGTGACCCACTTGCGGGTTCTGTACTTTACTGCTACATATGGAATGTGTTCGGCACTAGTGGATTATGTGTTCTCTCAATACCAGTACCTCATATTGGATCGTGCCTACCAGCATCTATACCGTGTTGTTTTCTTCTCTCTCTAATGTTTGTATTGAAAAGCTTAATTAAATCTGATTATAAAAAAAAAAATAATTATGAACAGAAATGGATCATCCAGTGACTGTAATTAGATGGCTTTGTCCAAAGTATATTTCAGGCAAACAGAGTTCTGGAAATCCTTTTGTCATTTATTAAACATTTATTATTTAAAAAAAATATTTTAAAAAAGGCACCACCTAGATTTAGCTTATGCAAATAGGCAAGAGTCTTCCATTGGAATAGTGTTATGAACTGGGGTTGTTTCAGTTGGTCAGGTCTAGGTTCAGCTACGTTATGTCCCCAAAACATGAGGTCAGTTGCCTATCTGAATATACTGAATGACCAGGTTTTCCATCAATGGATTTTCCTCCCTGATGGCACATTGGGCATATTCCAACATGATAATGCTAGGATTAATGGAGCCCAAATTGTGAAAGTGTTTCAGAGAGCATAAGGCATTGTTTTCAGACATGGATTGGCCACCACAGAGTCCAGACCTTAACCTCATTGAGAATCTTCGGGATGTGCTGGAGAAGACTTTACGCAGTGGTCCGACTCTCCCATAATCACTGCATGATCTTGGGGAAAAATGAATGTAACTCTGGACGGAAATAAATGTAGCCCTGTAACCCTATCACAAGACTACAGAAAACCCCCTTCTTTTATTCATAACCGTAGGTGTTCTGTAGTCCACAGAGAAAACTAGAAGCAATGCTAACCGATAAGAGCACAGGACAGGCAAAGAACACAGGAAGTTATCAGATCAAAATATTTCTGAAAATCAACAGGAATTGTTTGCATTTATCAAACAGATATAACAAACCACTTTTAATGGCATATTAAGCAGATCAAAAGGTAGCAAATAATAGAAGTTCATTTTTAGGGGTTTACATTCCCTTCAGTGACATTGTAGGCTCAATACTCTCTGTGCATAGGCTGTTGCCTAGAATGAAGCAACTCTAGGAAATGATAGGAAGCGATAGAAAGTTGTCAGGGAGATGGTGTGGTAATATTTTCAGCAGATTGCTCCACAAGCAGAGACAGGTGGGGAAATCACTTCGCCCGACTAAGTTTACTTGACATTTAGTCATGCAGATTTGAAATTCCTGTTCTTGCGTTCCTTTTTGTAGAAAATTCTTCCTGTGTTTTCTTGTATAGCTTCTTTCGTTGAAGTTGTTTCACCTGCTGATCAACATTATATGGCCAGGAGCAAAATTCACAAATGGTGTCTTGCTTGGTGAAATGTAACTTCTTAAAGAAGTTTTAAACTCAATGTTCAGATATCTTGGCTGACTGCGCTCGGTGGACGGTGATGTGACCGGAGACCACCGTGTTACATAGTCGGGGGGATACCATGTTTGGTTAACAAACAGTGGGGCCTCTCGTTTGTCGTTTAAACCTGATGAAAACGTTTGTTTGTGAGTACTTTTTATCCCTTGTTTTATTTATTGTAATAAACGATTTTACACACGGAGGTGGCGCTCTGTTCCCTTTTTGTTTTCTAATAACTGGTTGGGCCACCCTTAGAAGCAAGAACTGCAATCAAGCATTTGCGATAACTTGCAATGAGTCTGTTACAGCGCTGTGCAGGAATTTTGGTCCACTCATCTGTGCATAATTGTTGTAATTCAGCCACATTGGAAGGTTTTTGAGCATGAACCGCCTTTTTAAGGACATGCCACAGCATCTCAATAGGATTCAGGTCAGGACTTTGACCAGGCCACTCCAGTCTTCATTTTGTTTTTCTTCAGCCATTCAGAGGCGAACTTGCAGATGTGTTTTGGATCAATGTCCTGCTGCAGAACCCAAGTTCGCTTCAGCTTGAGGTCA